CTGCCATTCTACACTCAAGCCTGTGAACCCACCATACTGTAGCTCAAGTCCACACACCACAGTGTTTCTGTACCTTGGCATCTCTATATCTCGGCCCACATGAAACATGAAGTAGAAAGCTGTTTTTGGTTCTGTTATTGTCTGATTAGAAGCCCTTTTTAAACTCTTTAGGCCTTATAGAAATTTGAGAACCCTGCATTGGTATGCCAAATGTAGTCAGAAGATTTATTGTGTCCTGCCTGGCTCACTGTTGAGACAAATCTCTTATCCATAGTCCCATAGCCTTTTATAAAATAATCACTCAGAGGCTTAACATAATATGTAACTGCTCGGCCATTAGCTCAGGCTTACTACTGACTAGCTCTTTCACTTAACCCATAATTCTTATCTATATTTAGCGACGTGGCTTGGTACATGTGCATCTCTCTCTGCTTTGTGGTTGTGGATAAAGATGTAAGATCTCAGCTTTTCTCATTATCATGCCTTTGCTCTGCCATCACAGACTACAACTGTCTGAAACTATAAGCCAATTAAACACGGTCTTTTACAAATTGCCTTGGCCGTGGTGTCATGTCACAGATAGAGAAAAGTAATAAAGAAAGAAGCCGAAATGAAGATGTGGCTATTGCTGGCACAGTGTGTTGTTGCTGTGATTAGCCTAACTGTGAACTTTCTGGAAAAATACATAGAACTGTGGGACTGTGGACTTAAATCTGGTGAAATTCTGTAAGGCTTAACAGGCCATCCTAGCAGGAGCTTAGAAGACAGGAGTGCTGAGAGCAATGTGGGGTATGTAAGTTCAGCTCAAGACGTTTCAGAGAGGAGGAGGACTGTTAGCAACTGAGCTAGAGCATACCTTGCGACATTTTAGCAAAGAATGTGGCTGCCTTCAGCATTTGTCCTAAAAATTTTCCTGAAATTAATTTATAAATTATTGGATTACTTTTCTTGGTGCAGGAGATTACAAGACAGGCTCACATTCACATTATTACATGTTTATTAGTGATATCTCTTATATAAGTCTACAATGAAAAATAACAAAAAACAAGTGCAGAAATAAGAAACTTAAAAAAAAAAAATTTAAAGTGAAAAAGAGGACCAGGAAGTTTAATGTTGGAGTCAAAGAAAGAGATAAAGAGAAGCCTGATACAAAATGCAATAAAGGGGTAAGTACTCTTGGGACAAGAATGTCCACCCAGCTAATCTTTGAACTTGCATAAAGAAAAGTTCTGAGGAATTTTCTACTCCTAAAAAGCAGCGACAAAGTAAAGCTGCTTCAAATGTAACTCAAGACGGGAGCCAGACTCCATACCAAGCAGGGAGCAGAACTTGGCAATCTCATCCATACGGCTCTGGTTTTTAGAGTCCTGAAGAATACACAAGGAAAGGGATGTGAAATATTCCGTGTTTAAGGAGAGCCACTGTGGCCAGGCATGTGGCAGGTGAGTCCCTGCATATACATACTGAGAGGTCATTGCATGGAGCTGTGAAAGTCAAGCCTGGATTGTGATGGAAACTTGAGGACGTTAGAGGTGCCAGAGCTGTTGGGTATCTGCCAATGGGAGCTGCATACAAAGAATGGAACCGACCAAGATAGAGGAGTATGCTGAAGTCAGTAAAGCTGGAAAGGGCAGAGCCATCGCGGTCCTTTGACACCTGACATGGAGCTTCAGGGTTTGGAGCTTGCCCTGCTGGGTTTCAGTCTTGTTTTGGTCCTGTATTTCTTCACTGTGTCCCCATTCTTCCATTTTGGAATGGTAATGAATATTTTGCGCCACTGTATATTGGAAGTATATAATCTGATTTTTTTTTTTAATTTTACAGAGGGTTACAATTAAGAGATTGATTGCCTTTAATCTCAGAAGAAATTTAGGACTTTGAAGCAGTGTTGAGATTATGAGAGACGATTGCAAGTTTTGAACTCAGACGAGGTGTGTTTAGCATAAATGTATGACTACAAGACTATAGGGACCAAGAATAGAATGTGGTAGTTTGGATGATAGGTACCTCATACTTCTCAGATATTTGAATACCTTTTTCCCAGTTGGAGCCTGTTTGGGCAGGATTAGAAGGTATAGCCTTTTGGAGTAGGCATGCCACTTAAGATGAGCTTAAGGTTTCAAACAATATCATTTGTTCTCTATCTCCTGTCTGTGGATCAAGAATGTGAGCACTCAGCTGTTCCTGGTGACATATCTTTGTAATCTCCAACATCATAAACCCAGTGAAATACTTTCTAAATTCCTTTTATCATGGTGTTCCATTAGTACAACATAAAAACAACTAAAGCAATGTATTAAGAGCCATTCAAAATTTTCAATTCAAATGTAAATTATTTAACACTTTTAAATACATTTTGTGCTAACTTTTTTCATGCAGATGAATTTCAGATTTATATTTTATTATTTGTGATCCCCATCTGTTTTCTACTATACTTATTTCATTAGCTCTTTCAAATTAGTCACAATGGGAATATCATCAAAAAATAATGCATATTCTCTGGAACTTGTCAAATAGTTTCAAGTAAAGCATTTTTGACTAAGTATTGTATTAAAAAGTTATAGGTTTTTATATGCAAGCTTTAAATTGACCCATTCATCTTATAAGTGAAATATTTTCTCTGTGTTCCCTTCATGAAACATTTCCCATGGGTGTGTAGGTGGGTGAATGTTGCTAAAAAAATGAAGTCACAGGTTCCTATTTATGTTAGTATATCTTTTGTTTTAATAAGTAATTACTTATTTGATAATCATTATGCTAAGTCATTCTATAGAAAAATGTAACTGTGGACAGTCTCGTGTGTTGCTGCTTCCCAGGGTCTTTTCATTTAGACAAAGTCTGGGGCTCTGAATTAAATAGAATACCAAGAACAGAACACAAACTCCTGACAGGAAGTTTGCCACCTGCATTATGATCACAGAATTATCCCAAAGATTATAGAGATTATGTCAGCAGAAGTAGAGTTGAATTATTTTTATTTTACTTTGGTAATCTCTTCCTCCCCTCCACACAGGTAATCAAGTGCTGTGGTTTTTATTGTTATTATGACACATAGTATACTACTTTCAGGTACTCTTCGTCACTTCTCTTTACTATGTGCATCTGTCTAGCTGGCTTGACGCATGATTTGAATGAGAAGTGTTTATATACAGTGGATCTTTCAAGCCTCACCAGACTATTGAGTAAGCCTAGTCTTTTTTTTTTTAAATTGAATATGGACTTTTTTTTTTCATACAATTTGTTCTGATATGCTTTCCCATCCCCTAGCTCCTCTCAGATACTCCTCACATCCCCCTACCCTTTGAGTTAAGGCTAATCTTAAACTGCTAGCCCTATACATGTTGTATGTATGTGTAATAATTTTCACAGTTCCTCCCTGAAAGAAAATATCAATCACAAATCTTTTACGACTTAAAAATAATAATGATAACAAATTTTACATACATGAATATTCTTCTTAATTTTAAATTGTAACCAGTAAACTTCATTAACACTAGTCATTTTTAGTTTGAGTTTAGTTACAGGTCAATAAAAACTGTCAATTTAATATGAAATGTATTTTTCAAAATGACTTGGCTTGTTCTTTTAAAGTCGGGAAATAATCTGAATGGCTTCTACATGTTAAGAAACAAAGTTATTCAGAGTGTACACTTAATTTTAAAACTACATTTCACTATTTTGTGTGCCAGAGAGAGATGGTGGATTGAGAGCAGGCCCAGACAGGCCATACTGTCAGAAACCAACTTTGGGGAGTCTGTCTGTTATCTCTGCATGGCAGGTGGCTTTAACTTTGGAGTAATTCCTTATCGCCTTGAAATTTTAACTTTAATACAATATACATCATTTTAAAGAATAAAGAAGGAATGGAGACAGGTGTATTGGAAAACCATGAGTGAAATGGAGCTTTGTCCTTTCAAAGCTGCAAAAGACATATAGTTTACTCAAATGAGAGAAATTCTTTCTTAGACTTTACATTGCACATTAACTTTTCTGTTAATTTGTGAGTGTTGTGGTGACCTTTGTAACTTGATAGCAACATTTCTCTCTTTCAAAATGTTTTTCGAGAGCTTTGCTACAACACAGCTGTAGAAACCAAGTGCTTTCTAAAGATTGGAATATGTCCTCTGAAGGACATTGGTTCCCAGCTGGTAATTTTCCTATGAAACCTTTAGCAGTGTGAACTCCTCAGAGAACTGTGTAATATATTATTAAATATTGGAAACCATAAGTTCTTTATGAAATTTTTGAAGCTAAATTTTATTTCTGAGTAACCTGGGTCAGAGTGTGTAAAGAAGTATTAAATTAGGAATTTATAAATTTGGTTTTACAGTGACTAGATTAATATGTTAATTGTTAAAGATATGATTTTGAAAATAATGCAGTATAGTTTGTATTTTACATCTCAAAGATTTTGACTCTGTAAAAGTCAGTTATGTAAAGTGCTCCTAATTATAAAGAACTCCCTGATGCAGTCTTCCAGTTTAAGCTATTTTTGAAAAAAATATTCAAAACTTTAGTAGTATTAGTATAGGTTGAAGATAGTAACGTAAACATTTCTCATTTCATGAGACATATATTGTTGAGCTAAAATCCTGTATATACTTGAATTCTAGGCACTAGTGTTCTTGATTTTGTTCTTGTCCTGTGGTGGTAGGCACTCTCCACAAACCAGATTGTGCTTTGAAAATCTCCAACCAAACACACATATTTGAAGATTCAAGGTTATCATCTAAAAATGAAGGAAATATATATATATATATATGTGTGTGTGTGTGTGTGTGTGTGTGTGTGTGTGTGTGTGT